TTCTTTCTTTATTTTATAACGAATTATAAAGTTTATTTAAAATTTATTATTTAAAAATTTTTTGTGTCAATTGAAAACATGACTTTACATATATGAATTCATTTTAAAATTAAGAAGTTACACAATATAATTCCAAGATCGTCACTATGTGACAAATGTGATAAAGAGAAATTCCACTATGCTGATTTTCTCAGGTGATGTCCTATATGTCACTTATAATAAAATTCTCTCAATATTACGGATAATGATGATTCTTGCCTTTTTTGGATAGCCTAATTTTATAATAATAAGCATATAATAAATAAGCGTAATAATGTATTATTAATATTAAATACTAACAACATTTTAATCAAACATATTGTTAACTGTTTCTTGGCAATGACACTTGTATATAATGTCATTTTTTTATTTCTTCAAATGCTGACAAATTTATTATGAAATGACAGAACAAGAAATTGTAAACATAGTATTGGGGCAATCTGAAGTTGAAGATAATGAGGGTGTTGATAAGATAAGCAAGCCAGTTGTAACAAATACAGAAGCTATAAATGGTTGAAAATGCACTTAAATATATACAACAAAAATATTTAGAAGTTGACCCTCAAATAATTAAAAATATATAAATATATTGAAGTTAAAAAGATAAAATTTCTTAGCACCCAAGAAGCAAAACAATGTTGCATTGATGAATTTATGAGTTGACAATGATATTATTATTATTATTATGTTATATTTTGTTTTTTATGTATATACAAAAATAAAAAAAATTTTTTTGTACACATTTAATTTGTATCACATGATTTGATCATAAGTTTCGATTTAGCAGATCTCTCGATTTAACAGATAAGTTTTCTGGAAAAAAATATCTGTTAAATTGAGACTCACTGTGTATTTTGTAAAACTACTGCGTCACACATTACGCAGTAACAATTATTTCTATTCATATTTCTGTATTTATATTTCAAGAAACTTATTAGCTGATGCAAATATTTACTTTGAATTATTAATTATCACTTTGTAATGCTTAGTTGACCCAAATAATTATTTAGTATTAATTAGCATATTTTATTGGACAAAATAGAGTAAAAATCATGTTATTTGAAATACCCCAAGAGGTATAAAAAAACTTGATTTTAGACCATGTCAGAATCAGAATGTTCATAATAATCTTTTAATTATTGATCTAATAATTAATACTTCCTAACACTATTTGTAATAATAATAATATTATCACTAATAAAAACACATAACATATTTTACCCTAAAATATTAATCTTCAATTAACTAACAAACTACAAAGGGAAACCTTTACTGAATCCAGCAAGAAACTACAACCTTAATTGTTGAAACACATCTCAAGGGGACGCCTTTGAGATATAATTATTTACATAGAACCTAGAGATCCTTTTATCCAGGAAGATAAAAGTAATTTTTATTTTACTTGACTGTAAGTCAGCAGGTAGACTGTGTGTCATATATATATATATATAAATAAAGGAAACTTGACCATAAGTCAGCGAGTAGGCTGTGTGTCAAACATATAGAATCAACTGTAAGTCAGCAAGTAGGCTGTGTGTTGAGCATTAAATAACCTATTAATCCCTATGAAAAAAAAAATGACTAAAAGGTACTGAATATATACATTATAAAACAGTATGAAACATATGGAATTCAAATAGTACAAAAAGTACAGAATTGGACACTTTCCCGTACTTTTCCATACTGAAACAGTACTGAAATGGTGCTGAATTGGTATGGAATTGGTACAGAACCAGTACGTAATGGTATGGAACTGGCCCAATGAAAAGCACAGGGTACAGGGATCTGCAAAATTCGCCTGTCCCCTGTGCTTTTCAAGATTTCACCATCAAATCTAGAAAAGGACAGGCGAGTGGCACAGGCGATATGCGAAAAATCTTGAAAAGCACAGGGGACAGGCGTGGCGCAAACAAGGAACAGGTGACCTGTACCCTGTGCTTTTCAATATTCACCTATCAAATCTGGAAAAGGACAGGGGACAGGCAAATATGCCGATCCCTGTACCCGCCTGTCCTTTTGAGAAAAATTTAGAAAAATAGGAAGTAATTTGTACATAATAATAATAATTGCATAATAATAATCATTCGATGCAACAATTTTATTAATTTAGAAATTTGGATTCATTTTTTTCAAGAAAAAAACTGAAGATTTTAAAAAATGGATAACAGATGATTTAAAGAACTGGTGATTTAAATGATTTTGTTAAAAAATGAATGGATGATTTAAAGAACTGGCGATTTAAATAATTGTGTTAAAAAAACTGATGATTTAAAGGACTGGTGATTTATATAATTGTGTTAAAAAACTGATGATATAAATTGAAATATGTAATATATTTTTAAAAAATGTTGGATGTTAATGTAAATAAAGTCTTTATTTTTAAAGAAACAGCCTTTTTAAATCGAATGATTTGTTGACTTTGATAATTCATATAAATATACTCTGAATTTGATTACTTCAAAGAATTATTCTCAAATAAAACAAATATATAACAAGAAAAATAAAAAAGTTATCTACAAAAGAAAAAAAATTAATCTACAAAAAAATAAAAATTAATCTACGAAAAAATAAAAAAATTTAGCTACGCGGAAATTTTTTTTTTGAATTCAAACCTAAACCTTATCTTTTATTATTATTATTATATTATTATTATTAAACAATACTACTCGGAAATTTCAATTTTTTAATTTAAAATGAACAAATTCACTGCTTTCAGCAAAAAATTTGAAGATTCTATCTGTGAAGAAGGTATGCATCATATGTGTAATCTTTTGCTTATTTCAATTACTCAAAAACTTATACATTCAATTAAATAACTATAGATTCTGACACATCTTGCACTCACTGCAATTCAAATCAAGATAATGGTAATT